CCAAAGTACTTTCTCTATGGCTTTCTTTATACTAACTACACAGAAGTTTTCCCAGATGTTAATTCAAACCAGTGAAATTTCCAGTAGTTGAGCATTTTTTATCTACCCAAATGGCAGTTTTATATGGTTCAATTTGACAGTTTCTGAAGTAGTTGTTCTTGAATGATCAGATTACAAGTCAGTACTTCTCTGATTATTTATATTCCAGTTTAGTCATTTAGTCATGTCGCCTTAAAAGTGGATGACAGGTTTAAAGAAAATATTTATTTATTTATTTGCAAATAGGAAGTTTGATAAATATAGACAATGCCAAATTTATAATTCCTACCTTGAAATTAAGTGAAAGCTCTCAAGATAACTTTATTTTAAATTACTAATTCTTTGTCATTCCAGTTCTTACAGAACTCCTACAGATGCTCTAGTATTAGATCAATTTGTTCCTTGATCAGTGAGAAATGTTATTCCAGCAATGCCCTAGAAAGGAAATAATATTGAATTTAAATATTAAGGCAAGATTATAATAAACTGTAAAGACAAGAAGGGAAAATGAAGGTTTTTATTTTGAATTACATGATTCAGTGAGTGGAGAATTCCTTTCAAACATCTTATTAAGGGTGTTGAGATGTATAGATTCAACAGTCTGCTACTGTGAAACTTCACTGAAGCCTCTCTGGAAGTTGCCCTTTTAAGTGCAAAGGTGGATGAGGGCTCTAACTTTGACCTAGGTGACAAAGTCCCATTTAGGTGGAAAGCCATGCTGTGCTCTTCCTGAAGATCTTTTTTGTATTATATTTTGCTATTTGTGTTTGCTTTGTTAACAGTTCACTAAAATTGTCCAGTATTTAAAAATCAAAAGATTTGCTAGAAAAGTCTGTTCTAGGTCAAAAGGGTTATTATATGTGTACCTTACATTAGCATATTGAAATTGTTCAGGTATTGTTTTGTTTTTAAATTCTCAGTATAACAGACTTGAGTGTATATTTGGTTCTGTTTAATCAAGGTTCACTATCAGTGAAAAAGCAGTTATTTTAGCCACTGATCTTTCTACTAATAAAACTCAAAGGTTTTTTTTTTTAACTAAAATATCTCCAGAACATTACTAACAAAACAACTAAAATTTTCTATTGACTGAATATAGTAGAAGCACATGGGAAGTGACTGTTTTACTTGTTCATTAGGCAAACAAAAGTCTTTATGTAACTGATGTAAATTCATCTTTTATAACTCTGCATTTCTTAATGAATTTTGACAGACTCTGCTGCAATGATCCTTAATAAAAAAAAAAGAGAGAGGTCTTAGAATTCCGTAAGGGCAAGGAAACTGCTTTGGTGCCTAGAGCTTGCTGAGTGTCCTCTGTATTTACCTTTATGCCTGAAGTCTGAATGCTTGCCTTGTTTTATTACTTTGGGTTTGTTTTAAATATATAAGTTCCTGCACTGCATTCTGCTTCAGGACTTCTGTAAATATTTTTAAGAAAAGTCTGAGGGCATTGAATTCTGCATCGTTGGATATGGTAAGGGTTGCGTGTGCTCTCTCCTGAATTTTACAACATATACAGACTGAACTATTTAGTGACAATATGGTTATAAGTGTAACACACATATACATGCATAGATATCCTTGTTCAAGGTCAACTCCACAGTGCCTGTCACTAGTATTACTGGTTCAACTTGACCTTCAGGGAGTTTTGCCCACTTCACGACCAGATGGATTTGGCATCTGACAGAACCAACAGTGTCGGTAAAAGCTTCACCTCAGGAGCAGGGAGGGCTCCAAGGAGGAAAATTCCTGGAGTGCAAGTCCCCATAATTTGAGATAAGGAAGACAGCAGTAGCAATTTTTGGAGATCGTATTGTTGGCTCTTAAATCTGTTGGAACTGTCTTGGTATTTTAGTTTCTTGGACTGAAAGTCACTTTTGTTCAAAAATCATTTGTTCAGTTATGTAAATTTGCTTTATGTGAAAATAATTGTATTTTTAATCTTAGACTTTAACAAGTCATTTAAAGAAGTTTACATTTTTCTTTTTGGCAAGGGAGGAAGGAGGAAATGGAATGTGGAGGAGGGGAAGAAGAGAGAAATAAGGGCAAGAAAAAGGTTTTAAAGTGAGAATATACCTTTTTTTTAAGTTAAGAAAATTCTATTTTTCTGAAACTCAAAGTGGAATTAATCAATTTGGGCCCCATAAATCATCCTTATGTTTTACAGCAGTCAATAATACATCCCTGTAGATTAGGTCTTTCTTTGTTCTCCATTATGTCCCTCCAGAGGCCCTGGATTAGGGGAAGGAGGGACGATTCAACTTCACTTGTCAACTGTCATGTGTAGGTTCAATTAGGAAAGCAATTAATATGAGGCTTAAGATTGCAGATTTCCCATCTTTTAATCTGTTCCCCGGCTTCTCCAAAGCAGTGGTTCCAAACCTGCTGGAAAGTGGTTCTCGACGTGCTGGTAGGACGACCTAGTATGCTTTAAAAAAAATCCTTAAGTGAAGGATAAGCTAGAAGGTCACACTGACCCCACCACCATCCCCATTGACTGCACCCTCCCTTGCCCCTTCTCAGATCTCTGTTCAAATCCCCTCAATGGCTCCCATTTCACTCAGTAAAAGCCAAAGTCTTTCCAGTGGCCTACGAAGCCCCCTATATGATCTGGTCCCTGTGACCCCTTGGACTTGACCCCCTAGCCACACGGGTCTCCTGGCTGTCCCCAGAACGTGCCTGTCTTATTTAAACCTTAGGGTCTTACAGGCACTTGCTTTAGCTGTTTCTTATACCTGCATTGTTTGTTTCACTGGCTAAAGCAAGTCACATCTCACTTAAAGGGGACCTGAAAGGAACAAACCAGACCATCTGTGAATGAACAACCTAATAACTACATGGGGGCACAGTATGCGTTTGGATGAATAAGGCTGTGTGTGTGCTGAACAACCTAATAACTACATGGGGGCACAGTATGCGTTTGGATGAATAAGGCTGTGTGTGTGCACGTGTGTGTGTGCATGCAGAAACTAAGACTGTTGGTGTATATCCTCCAAGAGACGTGGTTGTATTTGAACTCTGCACTGAGACGACTGCCGGTAGCAGAGTCTGGAACCACATGGGATGTTCTCATATCGAACGTGCTCTTAATTCTAAGAGGTTAGTGTTCTTGCATCTTTGGGGTGGAGTGGCTGACATTGAGGGCGAGGTTTCAATTTGCATGGGCAGGGCTAAGTGGGAAGTTTTCCAAGCAAACAGCTGAACCAAGGGAAGAAGGGTAGGCAAGGCGGCTGCGGCCGCTGAGAATGCTGGTCTCCGCAGGAACCTCCCACACTCAGACTCCTCACAGGGATGGGAGAGGTTTAGCTAAAGGTAAAAGGAGGCCTGCTTTCTATGTCCTTTGCTTCTTGAAAAGAGCTTTCACTAACTTTATAACTTATACTAATGAATATAACATTAGTACATAATTGAACATATATGAACATTAATATATATTAATGAAATATCTGTCCCAAATCAGCTTTACTCTCAAGTCTAGTGGCATTTCTTTAACACATGGAGGAGCTGTCCTCCCCTCCCACACCACTCGGGGCAGTGCTGCGCCAAGCCTAACAGTCTAAACAATTTTGGCTAATCGCCCAGTCAGAAAAATTTATCTGTTATGTCCTCTACCCACGTGAAGTTCTGGAGCCGCTGGAAGTGAGATGGGCCGCAGAGAGCCTCGGCAGGAGCTGAGGCAGACCCGCGCGCCCGCAGGGCAGACGGCGCCACCCTAGCCGAGCCGCTCGGATGGCCGGGCTGTGGCGGGCAGCGCGCCCCGGCCGCGCTCCGCTTAGAGCTGCGCGCGGAGTCGCCGGGGCGGGGGCCGCGGGAGATGCTGCTCGAGGTGTCCTGTTTGCTCCAGCTCGGCTGCGGCTCGCTGCCCCGGCGCCCCTCCACGCCCAAACAAACCATTAACGTTCAGAATGCAAAGTTGTAGCTAAAAGCAGTCAAGTATTTATCATTTTCCGAGTTTTTACAACAGCGTACATTTCATAGTTTAAAAAGCAGCCTCCAATTTATCAGCACCTTATTTTTGATGTGACTACCTTAAGATGTGTAATTATTATATGCATATTTTTGAGCTGCTTCTAAAGCTACTCCCCAGTCCACGGGTTGTGAATGCTAATTTGGATGTAAACACGGCAAGACCCTCTATCAGAAAGCTTCCCCTCACCCACGGTGCTCTGCTTCCTTTCACTCTACAGCAGAACATGTACTAGCTGTGGCTAGGACACGAGGTAAAACAATAATATAGTTTTCTAAGTAACTGGTTCTCTCGAGTAGGAAGTTCTCTAAACGCCAAGTGGTGAGCAAAAACCAAAAGCAGAACACAACCGCAAAGGCTGTGCTCACTTACTGGACTTCATCATCCTGCTGCTCCACTGGCCTGCCCGACATTGCTAGGGAGAATTATTAGCCATTATTAAATAAATAAACCCCCGCTGTCACTAAGTCGGGAGAATGCCAAAGCTGCCACTGTCAGAGGCCTCTCTACTGCCAGTTGAAATTTCTGCCGTGGCGACCCCGAAACTCAGCAGGCAGTTCAGGTGGGCGCCCTTCGCTGTCCCTACTGTGCGCTGCACGCTGGCGGGTACCCGGATATCGTCTCATCTCTAGACAATGATTCCTTTTTGCTTTCAGGCGATAAGGGCCCCGAAGAGAATTTTGTTTGCCACAGAGCCTACAATTTTAAGCTAGACTACCCAAAACCTCCAAGTTTGGTGACAATCTTTCTAATCATTTTCTAGTGATGCAGGGAAAAGATAGAAATTCTAACATACATGGATTGTTGTATGAATTAAAAAATATTAAATAAAATATACTAGATTTATCCCCTACCAGATTTAAATAACCTGTTTTAAAAAAATTCTCAACCTGTAAAACTTTTTCAAACATCTTTGATAACATTAGCCACCTGAATTCTCAGAAAAAAATCTCAACAGCTTTATCTTTTGACATGAGTTTTTATTGTTAAAATATACATAATAAAAGTTACCATTTTAACAATTTTAAATATAAAATTCAGAGGCATTAAGTACATTCACAATGTTGTTTGACCATCGCTGCTCTTTCCATATAGCATTGTCCAAACAAACTCTTACCCATCGAGCAGTAATTGCCCTTTCTAACCTTCCCCCACCCTCAGGCCTTGGCAAACTCTATTCTACTCTCTACCTCTAGGAATTTGCCTCTGTGAAGGATTCGTAAAAGTGAAATTATATGCCATTCAGTCCTTTTGTGACTGGTTGATTTTTACATAGCATAATATTCTCAAGTCTTATCCATGTTGTGGCATGTATTGTAATTCCATTCTTTTTCATGGCTGAATGTTATTCCAATGACACGTGTACCAAATTTTGCTTATCTGTTTATCCATTGATTGACACTTGGTTTTTTCCCCACCTTTTGGCTATTGTGAATAATGCTGCTGTGAACATGGGTACAAGTTTGAGTCCCTGTTTTCAATTGTTTTGGGCATATAATCTAGAAGTGGTATTGCTGGGGCATACTGAAATTCTTTGTTCAACTTATCGAGGAACTGCCAGACTGTTATCCACAGCAGCTGCACCATTTTACAGTCCCACCAGCAATGAAAGAAGGATCTGGTTTCTGCACATCCTCACCAACACTTATTTTCTGTTTGAATAGATGTCCTGATGGATAATGGTGGTATCTCACTGTGGTTTTGATTTGCATTGCCTTAATTAATGTTGAGCATCTTTTCACACGCTTTTTGGCTATTTGTGTATCTTCTTTGGAGAAATGTTTGTTTGGTTCTTGGTCCACCCTGTAACTGGGTGGTTTGGTTATTTTGGTGTGTTGAGTTGTAGGAGTTCTTAATATATTCTGAATATTAATTTCTTATCATATAGGTGATTTGCAAATTTTTTCTCCCATTTAGTGGGCTGTCTTTTTACAAACTTTGATAGTGTCTTTGATACAGAAAGTTTTTACTTTTTATGAAATACAGTTTAGTTTTTCTTCGTGTGCTTTTGGTGTCATACCTGAGAAATCATTGTCTAATCCAAGGTCATGAAGATTTGCACCTATGTTTTATTCTAAGGGTTATAGGCTCTTAAATGTAGGTCTTTGAACCACTTTTGAGTTAGTCTTCTGTGTATAGTGTAAGGTAAGGGTCCAACTTCATTCTTGTGCATGTGGATATACATACACTTTCCCTAGCACCATTTGTTTAAAAGATTACAGTTTTATTTGTGACAACAGATTGAGCTGTTCCTTTTCTCTTCCTGTCTCACCTGACACTGGGCACAGGCTGGAGACAGCCCCATTCTCGTCAGCCAGTTGAGACCATGGAACTGGGGAGAAAGGGACGGGAAGTCAGTGTAGCAACAGAGACCCTTGGCCTTGTCCTGAATTTGAAAACAATGGGCTCAGCTAAGGAACTGGCTCCCTTTCATTTTGGCTTATGTTCCCAAACTCTTTTACAATATTTATACATTTGGATGATGGCTGTAGAAGAGTAAATGTGTTCCTAAATATAGCATTTAATTGTAGCTAGACAAAGCCTCAGGGTTACATCACTCAAGGATATAATAGCTCCAGCCTCCTACACATGGGTAGCCATTGCTGTTTACTTTCAAGGTTTTATCACATTGTGGCTCAACTTGTTTCTACTACTTCAGCTGCCAACTGATGGATTCTGTCTATAGTTCTTAAATCCAAACTCTCTAAGAGAGAGGATCTAATTGGCTGGCCAGTCAACGTCCATTCTCAAGAGTGTCATTGGGCTGAGCTCCTTCCCTGGTCCATCTTGTGGGCCGTGGCCGGCTTGTGAGACAGCTGCCTTCGATGCAGGTGCCAACCTCTGACCTAGGTGGCAAGGTCACCTGGAGGATGGTGGGCACTCAGCAGATCACATCCAGCCTGTGAGTGGAGGATTAAACTCAACATTTCTCACACACATGCAAGCCCACAAGCTAATCTCTGTAGGAGATAAAGATGTGGGAAAGGTTTGATTCCTGTCACTGAGGAATAGCAATAGATTCCCTATACAGTTATGAGACAAGCCAGTGAATGAACAGGGAGGTGGGAGACTGCAGTGTCCAGTTGGTGAATAATGTTAATTCTGCTCTGAGTCAAGGATGCAGGTCAGCCGCCTAACTGGGAGCCTGCTCCCCACTCTGAGTCAGTGAGTGATCGTTGTTATAACGGAGACAGCAGATAAAGCCTCCCAGGCATGTTCTTGTGTGTCACGGTTCTGCTGGACCAAAAAGGGTTGGGGAGCAGGCACGGCCAGTCTGTGGTGCTACAGCTTTTCTGCAAATGGAAGAGAGCAGGTCAGGGGCAGAGTCCTTTAGGGCTGCCACTGTCTTTCTAAACAGCTCCTAACAATGCCCCCAGGAGCCCATGCTGGGCCTTGAGGGAACTTTGAGCACATTTAGTTCTCCAGTCCCACCACTACCTGGGCTTGTCAGCCGGTCAGCGGACACTATCCTTTCATGGCACAGCTTCAATGTCTTTCTTGGAATTTGTGGATTCAGATGAACTTTTATTGCTGGGATCTGTGCAGCACCTTCAACAAAGTCTCAGGGGCCAGTTAGGGAAGGGGAGTTGTGCTTCTTACCCGAGGGCAGGTGCCTAGTCCTCTCTCACATCCCCTCTGCTTCTCAGGGGCCCCACATCACTCCCCTTTATTCCTAAATCCTGGACTTGCTAAGGCCTTCCTGAATCTCTCCCAAGGGCAGAGCTGGCTGTGAGCTAGCATTCCTACCGACTCCTCAAAGGCAACATAGGCCATGCATGGAAGGGCTGGCGGGGAGCAGTGGCTGGGAGACCTGCTTTCTAAAAGAGGACTGTTAAAGCCCCCAGGACTGGCTCCTTAGAAAATGCATTGGTCTCGATGAGAATCTGTGGGGACTCTTGAGACTTGGGCCTTATCATCCCATTCCTGAGAAACCCCAAGTCAAGGGGAAATGCTGAACACACAGTCCTTTGCATTTGGGTCATGATACATGATTTGTTCATCCCTCTATCGTCCAAAATGAAATTATTTACTAATTATTCCCTTCTGGTCTTTTAACTCCCTGTTGGGGACTTCCCAGCCTCAATCCAGGCCACAAGGTCTCCTGAGTCCAGTAGAGATGTGGAAGTAGGGAGCAGTCTTTTAAGTCTGCCTTCCTAAAGACAGGCCCACAGACACAAGCTAATACACAAAACCAGCTTCAACTGCATTGTTCCCTTCTTCAAGATACAGGACATGACAGGCTTAGATATGGACATGGCTATTCTCTCCCACAGCCACTTCACACAGGGCCAGATGAAGCAAATCAAACCAGCACCACCTCATGGCTGACGTCTATGCGTGTGTCCTGGGCCAGGGGCCCTACCAAGTGCTTCCCGTGCAGCATCTCATTTAAATCCTCAAATTAACACCATGATGGACGTGTGATAACTGTCCTATAGCTCAGATAAAAAATGGAGGCTAAGATAAGGTTTGAATCCAGGGGGTCCGCCTCCAAGTCCAGCCTCCTAATCACTCTGTGGCCCCACTGGCAATCTGTTGAGTGGATGAACTTTAGCTTTTGCATTAATCTCAATTTTACATTACAGCAAGTGCGCCCGCTTGGGGCTACTGAGCCGACCCCAGGGGCACTCCTTGCTCTGTTCTCTGAGATCCCTGTACTCCATTCCGCTTGGTTATCTAGGGCTAAAGAGAAGTGAGCTGCAAACTTTGTTCCCTGGGTAAATTCCATTTCCTTTTCTATTGTCTAAGGATTCTTAGTGATGTAACATTACACCCAGCATATCCTGCTTTTAAAAAGAAACCTTGGCGGGCAAATTACCACTTACAGCGGCCTTGAATGATAAAGTCCCAGGAGGTGAGTGGAAGGGCGCACCTGGGGTCAGTAATTACAGGCTGAGCGGAGGAACGAGGCGGGCGCGGGAGCCTGGCTCCCGGGGGTCAGAGAGCGCTGGGAACGCAGGCTTCCTCACCTCCCGCCCCCCAACCCCGTCCTGCCCCGCCTCCTTCTGCTCCTCACTCTGCGTTTCTTTTTTTGATCTGTTTCCTCACCTCCGATCTTTGTCCATCTTCCCACACCAGCACCAAATAGCCTGTGAGTGTCACAATAAAAGTTCTTAAGGCATCCTCATGCCAAACAATGTTTGTCTCTCCATTTGGGTTTTCTGATCTGTACTATGAGTGAGAACATGCCAGGAACACTTCAGGAATTTACTCCATAGACAAGACTGAAGGGGTTAGAAACGAGGTCACAATGTCCACCATCCCTCAAGCTGTACTTCTTCAGTTACGGCTTTTAATTTTAAAGCAGCTTTAGTATATTTTATATCTGCAAAATAATTGAAACTGTTAGACTTATACTGTGACTATTTAAACTGTAATTTAAACTAATGAAGATCAAATACAATTCAGTTCTTCAGTTGCACAACCTTACTTCAGGTGCTCAGTAGCACATGTGGTTGGTGGCTACCACATCAGGCAGTGCAGGTAATAGAACCTTTCTGTTACACTAGAAGTGCTGCTGGAAGGTTCTGGTTTAGACACTTGTCCTAATGCTGATGACACTTCATGGGGCAGAACTTCTTAAGGGTGAGCGAAAAGATTCTGCTAACGGCTGGATCAATACAAAGCCTCTAGGCAGCCCCTGGCCAGCACTTTCGGGAAACCACTTAGGCAGTGATCCATCTGTTACCTCCTTCTCTCCAAGGATTATCTGAGTTCTGAGGGTGAAACGGGGGCCCCAAGAATTATCCTGGCATTAACGGGGCATTCAGGACATGTGACATCCTCTGTCCTTGATGGCATTTGGATATTGGCTCGTCTCTGATGCTGCTTGGACCTGCAGGGGTCTCCAGCACACACGTTCCAGCCTGCTTGCTGCCCCATTCCCATGTCACAGCTGAGAGACTTCCTCCAGGCTGCCAGCCTGCTCAGTCCCTTCCAGCCCTTTTTAGGGGCCATACAAACCTTCTGGCTGCCCCTGCAGACCACTCTGCTTTGAGGCTGCCCCCAGACCTTTCATGTGTAACAGTTCCTCCACTCTCTGATTCCCTCCAAGTTGATCTTGATTTTTATTTCCCACTCCCTCTTTTGGGCTGAGTTCAGGATGGTGGGCTCTGTGTCCATTCTCCAGGTCCTAGAAGCTCTTAAGCTCTAGTCACCCAACCTTAAATTTCTCCCTTCCTCCTCAGATTAAACCCATATCTCCTTTTGGGGGAGAAAACACCACCTCTGCTTGTGTTATTTCTCCTTTCTATGGTTTATGCAGAGGTCAGCAAACTTTCTGAAAAGGGACAGATAGTAAATATCTTGGGTTTTGCAGTCCAGACAGTCTGTGTTGCAACCACTAAACCTGCTGCTTTAGTGCAAAAGTAGCTACAGACAATACATAAGCAAGTGGCTGTGTTTCAGTAACACTTTATTTATAAAAACGTTACCCCTATAGGTCAAGCCTGCTGACCCCTGGTTTATAGAATAAAATCTGTACTCTAGGTTCTCTTGTCTTTGGCCCTTAGTATTTAGAAACAAGCTTTTAAAATTAAAAGAAAAAGTATTCAGTGCCCAGCTTTTATATTTGAAAGATGAAACTGCTTTGGATTTAAAAAATCTAACTTTGAACTCATCTACTAAGAATTTCCACCTTTCTTCTGGGATATTAGTCCTACGCTAGCGCATATAGAAAGTCCCCATGGATGTTTGAATAGTAAGAGAAGGATATGGATAAAGAATTAGAAAATAGTTACAAGTTTTCTTTCTCAGCTACATTACAAAAATGGATTTAACAGATCTTATCTGTGATTGTGAGGATTAATGAAAAAGGGTGTTTTATAAAATGTGCCTCCCACATTGTCAGGTATGTTCCAAAAATGCCCCTCCCTTTCCATTGCTAAACCTCTAGGGTCAAAGCCCTGTGAGCAACAGTTGGAAGTCCTGCTGTTGCCTAAAGTATCTGCACTCATCAGCTTATTGACTTGAAATGCATTATTTTTTCATTATTAAAAAAAATGCAGATTTTCCCCAAAGGAGGAATTTAAAAATTCTTACCTTTTTCTTAAAGCCACATGGCAGAAAGCTGAAGGCCAGAACTTTGAGAAAGGAGACATCAGCCAGCTAGTTTTGAAATGGGAGAAAACAGTGGCTCCTGCAGGAAGGTCCTGCTTGTCCACCTCAGAGAAGAGGATACTGAAAATGAAATGGAGGCTGAAATCGCATTCCGCACACTTCCTCTGTATGAGTCAGGACTTTCTTGGTGACAAGTGATAGAAACTTAACCAAACTAGGTTAGGCAAAAGGGGAATTTGTTAGTTCAGAGTATGTACAGTTGAACAACTAAATTGTGGCTGGTCAGGAGTGCAGTCGGGTCTCAGGAACAGCTGGGACCAGGCATCTGTCCCCTTCCTACTCTCCACAGCCTTTCTTACCTTCTGTGCTGGGCAAACCAGCTTCCTCTCTTTAGGAGGCAAAATGGCTGCTGATAGCTCTTAAGCCTCAATCTCTCCTCTACTGTCACTGGGAGGCCAGTAATTCATTTTTGCACTTCCAGTTTTAAAATCCCCAGGGAATGACCAGTTGGCCCAGCTGGATCCGTGCATCCACCCAGCCAGTGGTGGTAATGCCTGTTCCTGTTCCCATTCCTGCACCGGAATGAGGAATGCTACAGGCCTCAGAGTGGGTCACATGTCCCACCTGTATCCCAGCACAGGCCCAGAACAGTAATGCTTTGTTTCGTTGTCATGTCCAAAATTGTTTATTACCATGTTTGTTCAAAGCTTTTAGATTTTTGCTCTTCTTGGGCAAATTCTGCATTTGTGGCTGAGGTCTTGGGAAACATGTGTTACAGGAACTGTGGGCCTTTGCTGGCTTTATCGTGGGTTAGGCTCTGCTGTAGAGGCAGGCCGTGTGTGATGAGCCCTTCTTTCTGGCAAAACAATTCAGCTCCTGTCATACTCGGTTTCTTCCTGCATGACTGAGTCAGCCTAATGCAGCCCCTTGGCGGCCAGCCTGGTGTTCCCCAAGGCTGAGGATCTAATGTCAGTAGGACACAATTCAGTTCACACTGAAGATGGGTATTAAGTCTTTTTACTGAAGGTCCTGTCAAGAAAATGCCCCTTGCAGTAAGAGCGCCTGCCTGTCCCCAGGCCAGCTAGGCGATTTTGCCAAGGTCAGTTTGGCTGATCGTTTTCAGTGGTGATCCAAAGAGGATTAAGTTAACATCTGACCTTTAAAGAGCTTTATCTTTGGGGAACCGGGCTAATTGAAAATTAAAAGGCTCCTTTTCAAAAATATTTAGACTACTGCCTAGGGAAAACATGAACACACTGCTTATAACAGCAGAAACAGCAATTCCAAACAGCAAGCTAAATTTACCACCACATGGATGGGCTTGGCTCAGGGATTCCGGGGTGGGTTCCTGTCTTAGTTCTGCCACTTTCTAGTTATGTGGCCTAAGGCAAGGATCTCTCACCTTTTCTAAGCTCTGTTGTCTTATTTGTAAAATAGGTGTAGTAATAGCAACCATCCCATAGGTTTTTGAGAAGATTAAATGAGATCATACATGGAAAGCCCTGTCATTTAGGTTAGTTATTAATATCACTGTGAACATATTTACATTTTTTAAATGTTTAATTTTGCTTACTTATTTGCCCTATCACGTTGATGGTTGTCTTGCCAATGGGTTTAAGCCCCAGGCGAATTCACTATGGATTCAATGTGACCAAAGAAATGACAGTAGAACGTTCTTAGGGTGAAAAGGTTAAAACCAACTTTATTTCCAAGGTGGCAGGTTAATCACTGGAGTCTCTTCCACTCAGCGAGTCTGCATGCAGCAAGCTGGTCTCTGCCTCTGGGCCTGTCCTGGGTGCTGCCACCATTCCAGCCTCTGCTGTGCTCTCCTGCAGCCTTGCAGTCCTGACACCATGTCGCCCAGAGCAGATGATGATGCATCGCCCACATGTGTGTAGTGAGCCAGCCAACCCAGGCCAGGTGAGAACCCTGGCCACAGGAACCTTTACTTTATCCACACTCCACCCTCCAGGATTCTTGCCTCTCAATGTATGTGCCCTCAGTCCTCTGCAATGGTCCCTGTGCAAGGTAGCTGGAACATTGTAACCAAATTCCATAATCTACGACAATATACGAATAACAAAAATCACAACAAATTATAATAACCCTCACACCTGAGGAGATCCATTGCCACCAAGTGGTCACCCTGGCTGTATTCAAACCAGTTCTATTCAAAGGAATTAACCAAAAGGACCATGGGTGGAGTGGGCCTTACAATACCCACCTTCTCCAGCCTCTCCAGCAGAAAGTCTTGCAGACACACAGGCTGATCTCGTTGCTTTATCTCTGCCTTCTGCTTCGTCCTCAGCAGCCAGAACCACTGCTCCAGTCTCAGTTGTTGCCAAAGCTCCAGTCCAATTTCTCTCTGTCTGCTCCTGCCTTTTCAAACCAACCCACATCTGGGTCCCTCTCAGAGACAGAGTCCCTGTGGGTCCCTGTGACCTTCATGGTGCCCTTTAAATTCTTCCTTCGAGAAGCAGACCATATTTCCTTTTGTGCTTGAGCCTGAGGACAGAAGCAGAGCATGGAGTGCTCCACAAGCTGAGGAGGGGGCTGCACCTCTCCTGGAAGCGCCCGCGGTTGCTGAGTCCTTCTGGCCTTCCACCAGCTTTCAACCAGGTGGGGTCTCAACCGAGGAGGGGCCAATGCCTCCAGCACCAACCGGGTCTCCACCCCCACCTGTTCATCAAACCTCCGCTCCTCCACTTCTGGGGCTGACCGCTCCACTAACTACATCCTTCACCTGCCCCATGGCACCTGGCAGCCTGCGCTCTCGTGCTGCTCCTTCTCGTGCTGCTTCCTCTCGGGCCACCACGACATCCTTTACTATTTCCACAGCACTTCGTAGTGATGCCATTTCAGTCAGCAACAAATTTTCTTTCTCTTGGGGTAGACCCCAGTCCTCCACCCCTGCACAGTACCACGTGTCCACAAGGGAACCCTGGAATGTCTCCCTGCTCATAGGTGCAGCCTGCTGAAACACTCCTTCTATGAGGGGCAGCCTGTACATTTTTCTCAATCAACAGTGAACCCTGCCGATGTCGCCAATTGTCTTGCCAATGGGTTTCAGCCCCGGGCAAGTTCACTATGGATTCAATGTGACCAAAGAAATGACAGTGGAACGTTCTTGGGGTGAAAAAGTTATACCCAACTTTATTTCCACAGTGGCAGGTTAATCACTAGAATCTCATCCACTCAGAGGGAGTCTGCATGTAGCAAGCCCGTCTCTGCCTCTGGGCCTCTTGGCCCGCACAGCCATCCTCTGGGCCTCTGTCCTCAATGCTGCCACCACTCCAGCCTCTGCTCTGCCCTCCTGCAGCCCTGCCACCGTGTCGCGCCCAGAGCACTAGGCAGGGCTCTTTATATAGAGTCAATGATGACACATTGCCCACACGTGTGTAGTGAGCTAGCCAACCAGGGCCAGGTGAGAATCCTGGCCACAGGAACTGTCACTTTATCCACAATGGCTAAATGGAATCTCGTGACAAAGTGACTGGTTCTCCTATTCCCAGAACTCAAAGAAACCTCCAGGTTCTGAGATGGAGTTACTTGGGACCAGAAGCTGTTAGCACAATGCAGCAGTGCCAGCATTCCAGCTGTGCCTGGACTTTACTGGGTACCATTATTGCAATTCTGCTGCTGCTAAAGCCTCCTTAGGAAAGGATAACATGAGAATAGCGATGGTTATATTGCCCAAAGAAGCCAGGAATATGTCTGTCCTCTAAAGTCCGTAAATACTTTTCCATTCAAGGAGACACACACTGATCATTGTTAAATATTTTCATCCAAATCAGTGGTCTTGATGTTGATATTCTTTTCATTGGTTTATACGATGCTTGAAGTTGTCTCCTTAGCATTCTGGCAAATGTCATAAAGCCATCAGCACTTTGACATGGCCGAACGTAAGATCCTGGAAGAGAGTTTAGTCTCATTTCAAAGGTTTTAGCCCCTTACCGCTCCAAGCCTGGTGCATGGACCAGACTCTGACAGCACCTGAGAATGGCAGGAGCTCGGGGCCCATGCTGGACCTGTTGTGTCAGAGCCTGCATTTCAACAAAATCTCCAGGTGGCACTAGTGCACACTACAGGTGGGGAAGCACTGCTCTATTCTCAGCTTTAGCTGTACATCAGAGTCACCTGGGGATGCCTGGGCGCTCCCTACAAAGGCCTGGCTTAACTGGCATTGGGATTCCTAAAACCTCTTCAAGTGACTGCGATGTGCAACCCGTGTGGAAAACTGATGCTCCAGGGACATTCTTTCCTCTTCCTCTGCCCCCTGCAATATTTATTTCTCTAAAAGTGAAAATTGCTCAAGCTTCAGCAAAGGTTCATCTCATGTTGTTTACATCAATGGATGGATGCACATTTTCTAGATAATGTCACACAATTTGAAGATTCACTTTGCATTTTAAAAATAACCTTTAGGAATTTCTTCTGAACTTTTGCCAAGGTCTCCACACCCCTCTTTTATTGTGAAGCCCAGAACTAGACACTGTCTTGTCCTACAGCCCTAAACAGCACTAAGCATCAGCATAAAGGGCTTTTGTGTCCTTTTGAATGAAAGGTACTGTTACAAATAAAGTCAGACCATTTGAATTGGGGGGGGGGGGTGGGGGGGGGGGGTGTTTGATGGCCAAGCAAAAGATTTTCTCATGCCTGTACTCAGTCTGGTAGTGAATGAGCCAGTTGTACAAAGAGAATATCTGCCTTCCCAGTTCTGAGCTTTCCTATAAGAGCAATAAATGTGTTGTTATTTAACCAAATAATTCATAAGCTTTCTTACATCTGTAATTCACAGATAACTAAACAGGTAAACTCACCCTGTACCAAACTTTAAGGCAGTTCTATGGATTCAGAAGTGTGGCTGATGTCATGAGGATAAAAGTCACCTGAACCTTACACCTTAGAGCCAAGGGGCCTCCAAACTTGACTACTAAATTTGTAAGAATCACCTGGGCTGCCTACTACACACATACAGATGTCTGGGCAAAGGTATTTGTGTTTTTAAAAAATCAGATCAATTCTTTTCAAACTACAACGCTTGTTAAACATTTCAATGTCCATTCTGTAAGTCTGTCTGGGCTGGGCCC